ATTTAATATCAAATAATTTAAAATATAAATTTATAATTAATTATATTTCTTTATATTTGGGAAATCTAATTTAATTTTATAATTAATAATTTAAATTGTTCGAATAATTTAAAATAATTCTTGAAATTTTGAATTTATTTTTTTGCATAGATTTAATGATTATTTTTCTTGAAATTACAGGTATATTTATTTTATATTTAATTATTTTATATTTTGAAAAAAAAAATATTAATAATAATATTTAGTTTTGTTTTTTCTATAGGTAGATAATTCCGGATTTATTTTAGTTATTTTTTATTTATAGGTAAGGATTATTAAATTTAATTCAAATTATTTTTCTCCTTTTTTTTTTCTTTTCTTCTTTTTCCTTCTCCTCCAGCACCTCTGCCTCTGCTTCCATGTTTACTTCCGCCTTGCCAACTCTTCGCCAAGTTCTTCGCCAAGCTTTTCGCCAAGCTCTTCGCCAACTTCCGCACGCAGTGGGCGCTACTGGACCTCAAAGGATCTATATAAGTAGATTGGGTACCGCTGGATCTCAACCTGAAACCTTCCGAATTCAATGAAAACCGCTGGACCTCAACCTGGGACCCTCCGAACCCAATGTGTACCGCTGGACCTCAACCTGCGACCCTCCGAGCTCAGTGAGCACCGTTGGACCTCAACGAATAGATAGAATGCCAGAAAATATGCCAAATAGAAGTTAGATATCATGTCAGATAAAATATGAAAAGATATGTCAGATAAATTGCCAGAATCTTTGCCAAATAGAATGCCAGAAGATATGCCCGCCAGAAGATTTACCAGATAAGATATGTCAGAGAAAATACCAAATAAAATATCAGATAAAATATCAGAAACTATATCAAAAAATAAAGGTCAGAATATCTGATAAATAAAATATCAGAAGATTTGTCAGATAATATGCCAGAAAATATAACAAATAAAATACCACATGGAATACCAGAAAATATGACAAAATATATGTTAGAAGATATGCCAGGTAGAATACCAGAAGATATGTCAAATAGAACGCCAGAAGATTTGCGAAATAGAATGCCAAATAATATCAGAAAATATATCAAAACATATTTCAAATAGAGTACCAGAAGATATGTCAGATTATATGCCAGAAGATATGTCAGGTAGAATATCAGAAGAAATATCAGATAACATGTTAGAAGATATATAAGATAAAATAATAGAAAATATATCAAATAGAATATCAGAAATTTTGTCAATATTAAAATATATAGATATTATGGTGGTAATATTTCGAAATAAAATAATTAATATTATTATATATATAATAATTATTTTATTTCAAATGATCCCCACCATATTATTTATATATTTTCTTATTGGCAAATCTTCTGGCATTCTATCTGATATATCTTCTGGCATTCTATCTGGCATATCTTCTGACATATCTTCTGACATTTTATCTGGCAAATCTTCTGGCATTCTATTTGGCATATCTTCTCGTATTCTATCTGACATTTTATCTGGCATATCTTTTGATATTTTTTCTGGCATTCTATCTGGCATATCTTCTGATATTCTATCTGACATATTCTGGCATATCTTCTGACATTCTATCTGGCATATCTTCTGACATTCTATCTCACATCTTTTCTTCCCGTTGAGGTCCGCCAGCGCCCATTGCGATCTGGAAGTCGCGGTTGAGGTCCGGCAGTGCCCACTGGGATCTGAATTGCGAGGAGGAGGCCGAGGAAGAGATGGAGGAGGAGGATACGGAGGCGGCGGAGGAGAACAACTCTGATAAAATCTAAGAACCCTTACCTGGCAGGTGGGGAAATATAATATTAAATATTTTATATTATAATTTAAATATATTAAATATTATAATTAAGATTATTAAAATTATTAAAAAAAATATAATATTCGAATATTTAATTATTTTTGAAAAATAATGAATTTATAAAATATTATATTTTTTAATTATAAATAATAATTAAGATAATTCAATTCCAAGATATATATATATAT